GAGGAGGAGGGAGGAGGAGGAGGAGGAGGAGGAGGAGGAGAGGAGGAGGAGGAGGAGGAGGAGGAGGAGGAGGGGGAGGAGGAGGAGGAGGAGGAGGAGGAGGAGAGGAGGAGCAGGAGAGGAGGAGAGGAGGAGGAGGAGAGAGGAGGAGGAGGAGGAGGAGGAGGAGAGGAGGAGGAGGAGGAGGAGGAGGAGGAGAGGAGGAGAGCGCACCCCTTCGAAGAAGAAGAAGAAGAAGCAGCTCGGTCTCGGCAACTGGAACTTTCTTGAGGGTCGGGGACGACGTCGGGGTGGTGTGGTGTATACTTTTTTCTTTGTTTTCCTGTGAAAACAACGAAACATGTATACACCAGGATGCCCTATACACCAGAATCCGTTTTCTTGTGCGGATCTCAGAGCGGGACCGGAAAAAAAACATCGGTGTATAAAGTCCGGTTCCTTATAAACCTCCTACCCTGACACGCATCGCATCGCCGGCGGCGCGAGAGCTGCCTGGGGCATCACGGGCTGCCTTCACGCCTCGTGGCAAGCATGTGGCCGGACAAGTGGATGTCATCACGGTGAGATCCACGAGTTTACGCCAAGGCCGAGGGGCTCTGCAGCAGCACTCGGGGTGCCGCGTGGCTGGCGCCCTCGTCCCCCGCCTACCCTGACACGTCGATTAGCGAATTGGCCGTTTTCGGTTCGCGGGAGGGCGTCGTGGCCGTCGCTTTTGCGGGCCCAGGTCCGCCGATCTCGGCCCCAGGCCGTTTTCACCAGAGGGCGGTCTGGTAGAGGAGGCTTGTCCTCCGCCGAACAGCGCCATACACTCTCTTGGCTCCGCGCTGGACCCCCTGGCGGCGTCTCCGGCGCCACTCCGCGCGCCAGGGAGGGGGGTCCAGCGCAGATCCAAGAAATCCGCGCGGAGCGCCAACAGTTTACGCTTATCGCGTCTTCTCTTCTTCTGCCCCTGGACGGGCCTGGGGACCTCCTCGCGTCGTGAAGCTTGCCCATGGACGTGCCCAACCTGTCTGCGACAAGCGGCAGCAGCAACGACGGATGTGGATGTGCCAAGGGGCGCGATCCCTTGCGAATGCGACAGGGGGTCCTGCGCGTTGCGCGCCTCGCGGGACCGAAAAGGAAGCAATGCAGAAGTATGGTCTGGAGGGGGGGAAGACGGGAGGACGACGATGGCTTTGACGACGACGACGACGGCGGCGGCGGCAGGTGCGGCGGTGGCGGCGGCGGCGGTGGCGGCGGCGGCGGTGGCGGCGGCGGCGCGCGCGCGGGCGGGCGGGCGGGCGAGCGGGCATGACGTTGCGTCTTTTGCCACTGGCAATCAGGGCGACGTACCGCCCGGGCCCCTTAGGACCACTCTTCGCTGGCCCTCCAACAGGTTCACACAATCGTCGCCAGTTTCGCCGATGGCAGTATCTGGGGTTGGAAGTGAACAGTGTGACTGTGGATGGGACCGTATTCCGCTGGACCTCCCGCAAGCTGACGAAAGTCGCGGCAATTGCGCAGCACAGCTGCGCATGTGGCATCACCCAGGGAGGCAAGGCCTGGTTTGGGTCCCTTTTAGAAGTCGCTCCGCTACACTTCCCGGGACCGTGCGAACATGGCGGCTGTTGCGCAGCTGGCCGCACCAGCGCGGCGACGTCTCGCTTGGGTCCCTTCAAGACGTCGCTCCGTTGTGGCCCTGCTGGGGCTCACGCAAGTGGCGGCGGCTGCGCAGCTGGCGGCACCCGGGGAGCCGTGGTCTTATCTGGGTGCCATTGACCTCGGCGCTCCGGTGGACCCCCAATGGGGGCTCGTAAGAGTGGTGGTCATTGCACATCTCCCGTCACGCAGGTAAGCGAAGTTGTCCAATTTGTGGATCTGCGTACAGCACCACTCAACTGGACCTTCCAGGCTCACGACAGCGCCTGCAATGACGCGGTTGTCAGCACCCGTGGAGGCGAGGCCTCATCTGGATTTCCGTAAGGCACGTTTGCGCTGGAGCTTGTACGACACCGCTGAGCTGGATCTCCAAGGAAGTCGCAAAAGTGACGACAAGTTTACATCTTGAAGCGCCCAGGTAGGCGAGCTCTGATTTTAGATGTGCGTGCTGCACCATTCTGCTGGACCTCCTTGGGCACCCAGGGAGGCGAGGGCTCATTTTGATTTGCGAAATTTAGCGCTCCGCTGGACCTCCCACGGGCTGGCGAAATTGCCGACCTTCGCGGTGTTCGCAGGTAGCTGCGAGCTCGAAGCAGGCCAGGAGGTAGGCCGCGGGAGACAGAAAGAGGCAGGAGAGGAGGAGAGAGGGGGAGGCGGGAAGGAGGCGGGAACAGCAATGCCCTTCCAAAGCGCAGGCCCAGCCAAGGAGGGCTGGGAAGCTTCACGACGGAAGGTGTTCGGCGATCTGCGGCCTCTGGGGCCTTGACAGGGCAGCGGGACCGTGCAGTGGAGACCCATGCCAATGAACACCATGCTCGCCTCCAGAGTGCCCTGGGTTTCTTGGGTTTCGATGGTCTTGCTGGGGAAAGCGCGACGTTCCCACACCAGAAATCAATGGACGTCCTGGGGTCTCAGGGCTGGGTTTCTTGTGGAAACCTGTGGACTGCTCTCCACTGTAACAGAAACGACTCGGGAGGAGGGGCTGGTCCTGGCGCAGTGATCGAGACTTCTGGGGGGCGATTCTTCCTCGAGGAGACGGTCTCCTCCCCTGGGACCCCCCCCCGCCCCTGAGCGCCCCAGGACTTCCAGGGGCGTCCGAAAACGCAAGCAGGCCTCCTCGCTCCTCGATCCTCGAGCCTCCTCGATCCTCGATCCTTCCACGATCCTCGCGCCGATCCTCCTCGGTCCCTCGGTTTCCAGGGGGAGGTGAGGCGCTGAGCCCCCTTCCGAGGCTGGACTCGAGACGTGTCCACGGCCCCGGCAGCCGGTGCCCCAGGACCCCGCCAAGGAGGAAAAAAGAGCCCTTCTGGAGGAGGAGGAGGGGGAGGAGGAGGAAGACAAATTTTAAGGCTTTTAGCTTCTGGAGCGGTTTTAGGTTTTGGCCTCGCCGGTTCATGGGCCGCTTCCTGTCCGCGCGTCCCGCAGGATGCACGGCTTAGTGGTGGTGAGAAGCGCCGGCTCCGCTCGGGGCAGCCTCCGTGAGTGACCTCGCGCGCGAGTGCCCCCTCGGGCATCGTGTGTCCTCGGGGCGTGCGGGCGGCGGCCTCGCCCGCGCCCGACCGCGCTCACGACGGACTCGGAGCTCAAGGCGGCGGCTCCCGCACGGCCGCGGGCCAGGGGTGCCGCGGGCCAGGCGGCGGCGGCGGCGGCGGGGGGGGGTAGCCCTCTCCTGGGGGGCCGCATGCGAACCCTACCCCATACCCCCCACGATTTCTGAGGGGGTGGGGGGGTGGGGTAGGGTTCGCATGCGGCCCCCCTATCTCCCCCTCCCCACCTTCCTTCTCCCATGTGCGCTGCTTCGAGGGATTCATAGCTGGACTAGAAGAGAGAGAGAGAGAGAGAGAGAGAGAGAGAGAGAGAGAGGAGAGAGAGAGAGAGAGAGAGAGAGGAGAGAGGAGAGAAGAGAGAGAGAGAGAGAGGAGGAGAGAGAGAGAGAGAGAGGGAGGGGGAAAGAGGAGAGAGGAGAGAGAGAGAGAGAGAGAACAACAAAGAGAGAGGTGGGCCAGGAAAGAGGCCAGGATCAGGCGTGGTCTCGAGTCGGTCTCGGAACGTCGACGCCCACGAAACGTGGGACGCCCACGAAACACTCACGAGGCCTCAACTTCGCATGTGTGCAACGAGGGCGGGAAAATGGGATGCTTGCCCAGGCCGAACGAAGAGAGAGGGTGAGAGAGATAGTCGGGCCTGGTGGCAGGGGCACTCCGATTCGTTCAACAAAGCCCCCCCCCCCCCCCCCCCCCCCCCCTGCCACTCCGCCCGCCGGCCCGTGCTGGCCCCCCCTTCGCGAGCCGAGCGCTCCACGTGGCGCCCCTCGAGCTCCTCGCGCCCCGCGGAGGGCAGGCCGTTCCTGCCCCCCACCGCGCGACGCCTGCCCCCCCCCCCCCCACGTCTGCGTCCCCCCTCTGAAGACGGGGAGGTGCACACGAACAGGCCGACCTCCTCGTGCGCCCCTCCGCCGCCCTCCGCGGCGGCTCGCCCTGCCCACCGCTGGCGCTCCGAGGCCGGCGCGTGCGCGCTGCGCGGGCGCAGGCGACTGCGCCCCTCTGCGACGGGATTTGTGTCGAGGGGTCCACGGTGGATTCTTCTTTTGCGCGCCTCCGTGCCAGGCCATCTGGCTGCGTGACTCATCCCAGATGTCGATGTGTGTGTGTGTGTGTGTGTGTGTGTGGTGTGCGCCCTCCCGCGGCAGAGGCAAGAGCAGCGTGGGGTGGGTAGACCGAGGGCAGCGAGCGCGGGACCTGGCAGCGAGGGCAAGGCGAGGTGCACACAGTCGAGGTCGACTGGCAGGTCGACCCCGCCGAGTCAAGGGTACCCTGATGTCTCTCGAAGGAAATGCTATAAACATACCCATCGGTCGTTGCAAGTAGGTATTTCTGGAGTCCCAGTTCCCAATCTACTTTAGGCGCCTTCCTACTTCAAGGATCGAGTGGCTTCCCCTCTTCCCTCCCCTTCAGGGGGCGGGCGGACGCCCAATCTACTTCCAACGGCTTCCTACTTCATGGTTCTACCTACTTCTTCCGACCGATTGGTGGTTCCTTCGAAGCAGACGCCGTGCACATGAACTTTCGGAGCTCCGCGCGGATTTCTTGGATCTGCGCTGGGCCCCTTGGCGGCACCTCCAGAGCCGCCCCTTGCGCGCTCCGCGCACCAGCGAGGAGGATCCATCGCGGATCCGACCGCGCGGACCTCCAAGAGTCTCTGCTTGTGCAGTTTTCCGTCCTCCCGGTCCATTGCGTTGCGACCCATGGCTTCTGCATCCTTGTGGCAGTGTGACCCTCGGAAGGGCGCCGTGTCCTCCCGCGTGTCCCCTCCAATCACACTCGACTGTAGAGGTACCGCTTGCTTCCGTTCAGCCCGTGCAGGACAGCACGAACAATGGCGGCAGCAACCTGGTGGAGACGGCCGCCGTGACGGGCAGCGCCGAGGACTGCTGCACCAGCTGCCTGCAGGAGTCCGGGTGCAGAGGCCGCAGTGGGTGCTGGGATGCGAGGGCTCTCTGCCGAGATCTCCTCCCCCTCCCTCCTGCATACCCATCGGTCGTTGAAAGTACGTATTTTTGGGATTCCCAGTTCCCAATCTACTTTAAGCGCCTTCCTACTTCAATGATCGAGTGGCCTCACTTTTTCCGTCCTCCGAAGGTGGCGGACGGAACCCAATCTACTTTCGACGCTTTCCTACTTCATGTTTCTACCTGCTTCTTCCGACCGATGGGTTCTCCTTTTCCAGGTGCCCGTGCATTCGCCTTGTCACGTCTGCGTGGCCACCGCCCCGCTGCGCTGGGCGCTTGCACAACTTGCCCAACCTCATCATGCCTGTGGACCCCTCGAATTCCACACCGGTGCTGCGCAACGCACAGGCCAGTGCTTGTGCGCTACGCGTGAGTGCAGCGCGTAGTCATCAAACTTGTGCCATTCAAGTCTTTGCGTGGTACCTGCCAGTGTTTGCCAACTCACGCTCTCACGCGCCCGTGTCTAACCTGCGCGCACTGCCACCTCTCGAGTACAGCTCGCCGGAGGGCTAATACGGTAGGTTCGCGTCGTGTCGACCAGCGGCGACTCCAGCGCGGGCGTTTAAGGCTGAACGCCGCCCATGGCCCAGAATCGGCCCATCCTTGAAAGAGAATGGCCTTTTTTAAAGGGCCGATCGTTCAAGTCGAAACGATCCCCGCGGTGTCATGAACCTTCGCCGGGGTCGACACGACGCGAACCTGCCGTACCAACCGACGTTTTGGAGGGTTGCCCTCATGCGTTCTTGTGGTTGCGATCACCACCTTTGGGAATTATCTCCTCCTCCTCCCCACCTCCTCCCCTCCTCTCCTCCTCTCTCCTCTCCCCTCCCTTCCCTCCCCCCTCCCTCCTCCTCCCCCCTCCCTCCCTCCCCTGCCTCCCTCCCTCCTCCTCCTCCCCCCCTCCTCCTGGGAATGTATCTCTGCCGTGGGAGCTCTCCCTGGGGCCTCGGGCCCTCGGCGAGAGGGGCTCCTCCTCTTCTTGATCCACGCGGCCGTGGCCATGTGCCAACGGCACCCGTCGGCCGTTGAAAGTACGGTCAACCCGCACAGTAAGGATGGCTACGACAGGTTCGTGTCGTGTCGACCGGCGGCGACCCCAGCGCGGGCGTTTAAGGCTGAACACCCCCAGTGGCCAGAAACGGCCTATATGGAACGATCGGGCGATCGAAAAGCCGCCGATCGTTCAAAGTTGAAGGATCCACGCGGTGTCAGAAATCAACGCTGGGGTCGTCATGACACAAACCTGCCGTACAGTCAACCCGCATAGTAAGGATGAGCAACCTTTCCAGGGGCACCCCTTGCATCCTCGTCTCCTCGGTCCATCCTTGGCCAGTTTCGTTGGCCGCGTCGTGCTCGAGAAGCCTCGAGATGGCCCTCCAGGGCCCTTGCACCCTTATCCCGCATCCTTGCTATACGGGTCGACTGTAGGTATTTTTGGAGTCCCGGATTCCAATCCACTTTGAGCGCCTTCCTACTTCAATGGTCGAGTGGCTTCCCCTCTTCTCTCCTCTTTCGGGGGCGGGCGGAGACCCAACCTACTTCCAACGTCATCCTACTTCATGTTTCTACCCACTTATTCCGACCGATGTGTACCCGCAAGTGCGCTCAGGTGTCCCCCCCCAGCTACCCCGCTGAGAGGGGCAACAGAGGGAAGGCTACACCTGGGTGAAGGGCTCGGGCGAGTGCTGGCTCAAGTCCTCGCTGGGGATCTCTGAGGGCGACGACGCGGTCGTGAGCGGCTCGGTGACGTTCGCAGGACACGTACTTTGATTCGGCGGGGCGCAACACAGCCTACACTTACGGTAAGTTCGTGTCGTGTCGCCGCGGCTGCGACCCCGCTGCGGGTGTTCAAGGTTGAGCGCCGCCAGTGGCCCAGCATCGGCCAATATGGACCGATATGGCGATCGAATAGCCGCCGAACGTTTATGCTTGGACGAGCGACGCGGCGTCAGCAACCAACGCTGGGGTTGCCACGACACGAACCCGCCGTACACATCCAGATGTCCGCACGGATTCCCTGGGTCGACGCTGGTCTCGCGCACCAGGACAGATGTGCTCAGCGCTGGCCCAAGAGAAGTCCTCGCGAACGCCTTGACGGCTCATATCGGACTTGCAGCGCGGGCGCGGCTGGGGATCAGTTCTTTGGAGGGCTGTGGTGCGAACTTCTCCTTCACAGGGCTGGCAGCCTGCCTCTTTCCCTCCTCCCCCCCTTCACCCTCCTCCCTCTTCCCTCCTCCCTTCTGCTGGCTCCCTCCTCCCTCCCTTCTCATTTCGCTAGGTTCGCGTCGTGTCGATTGGCGTCGACCCCGCCGCCGGCGTGAAACGTTGAAGACCGACGGCGACCCAGAACTGATGGGCCCATTTTCCACCACCACTATCATATGTAGGAGAGGGAATGACTGGGAATGACCAATCGGGACCCTGTCCCGTCCTCGAGCCACTGGAGCGCAAGAGGAACACGAGCCTCTGCAGCACCAGGGCGGTGCTGCTCGGGTCGCAGGAGGAACACGAGCCTCCGCGCCACCGAGCAGCAAGCGGACGCAGGAGGAACACGAGCCTCCGCATCCGCGTGAATTCGTCGCGCTGCTCGGCCGCAGGAGGAACACGGGCCTCCGCGACGCCGAGCAGCCAGCAGGCGGAGCGCAGGAGGAACACGAGCCTCCGCACTCCGAGCGTGAATTCGCGCGGCCACAGCGCCCCTTGCGCTGGCGACCTGAACTCACACTCCGACGAGATGCCGAAGACGCCGATGCTAGGGGAATAGCGGGCCCCCACCGCCTGAGGGAGCCGGGAAGAGCGGCGGGACCACCGAAGGAGAGCCGCGGACCCCCACCGCCTGACCCAGCCCATCACGCTACCCAGCGAGTTGCCGCTGGCGTACTTCCTCCTGGACGTCCAGCCCCGCTTCAACGGCGGCTTCAGCCGCTTCGAGATGGGCAGCCTGTGCGAGCTCGAGGTGACGCTTCAGCTCGACGACCTCGCGACTCTTCTCTAGCAGGACGTCAATGAGGTTGGGCGGCGGCTCCACGACCGCGACCTCGATTTGCTCCGCGTCGTACTCCAGCGGGGCCGCCACGTCGCACTTGGTTTCCACGCCACTCGGCGACACCCCAGCCTCAACCTGCGCGTCCACGATCTTCTTGCCCTTCGACTTCACCTTGTCCTTCAACTTCTTCTCCTGGCAGCCCGTGGAGAAGACAGTGCATGGCTTACCTACCTCCTTCTCCTCCTCGAAGGCCTGCGCAATGTCGCACACCAGGCCTGCGGGGGGGTGCCCAATGGTGTTGCGGATCTTGCTGAGCTTTCCAAGCTTGGACGCGAGCTCGGACTTGCCCAACTGCCGCAACTGCTGCTTGGCCTCAGGGACGGACGGCGTCGCCTCCATCCCTGCCCCCTTCTTCACGGCGTGTAGGGCCTCCTCCAGCTTGTCGAGGGTGGAGCCTGTCTCAAACGCCTCGACGTGCGCCGCCGAGATGGCGGACACGCCCTGCAGCGCACCCCGCGCCGCTGCTGCTACCAAGTTGCCCATGGCCTTGGCCGATAAGCCCAACTCCATGCCAGCATGAGCCGCTCCAAAGACTGCCTGCGCAACGGGCAGCTGAATGAGCGCCATGCCGAAGAAAAGCGGAAGATACGGTGAGCAGAACCCTGGGGAAGGGCGAACCGCGGCCAGTCTCAGAGCCCAATTGCTTGAGCCAAAATGGCTACGGATATGTAGGAGAGGGAGGAGGGGGAGGAGGAGGAGGAGGAGGAGGAGGAGGAGGAGGAGGGGGAGGAGGAGGAGGAGATAATTCCCAAGGTGGGGAGCGCATGGGGAGGCGGGTACGGGAGGCGGATGGGGCGTGTGGGGAGGCGGCGAGGAAGGGAGCAGGAGCATGAGGCGGATGAGGCGGACGGGAGCGCATGAGGCGGACGGATGAGGCGGAGGGGAGCGCATGAGTAGATGAAGGCGGATGGGGAGGCGGATACGGCGGGTGGCAGGCGGCGAGGAGAAGGAGCAGGAGCAGGAGCAGGAGCAGGAGGAGGAGGAGGAGGAGGAAGAGGAGGAGGAGGAGGAGAAGGAGGAGAAGGAGAATAAGGAGAATAAAGAGAAGAAGAATAATAATAATACTGATAATCAACATACTAAAAATAAGCATAATCATGAACATAAGGCGAATCATATTAATACTAATAATACTAAGAAGAAGAAGGAGGAGGAGGGAGGGAGGGAGCGAGGGAGGGAGGTTGAGGAGGAGGGAGGGAGGGAGGGGGAGGGTTTTGAGCGGATTTCGGCTGGGCGGGAGGGGGGCCGTTGCCTCAACCGGCCTCCTGACACAGCGGCCTTCCGAGGGGAGGAGAAGGGTGGATCCTTTCGGGGGGTGCCTCGCAGGGGGGGGAGGAGATCACCACCCACCAAACCACCCCAACCCAACCCGAAGGCTCAGATTTACCCTCGATTTCCAGTGGGGGGGGGGGGGGGGGTCGGGAAACATCGAAAACACACGTGTGGAACCCTTACCCCCCCAACCCGAAATTCGGGTCTTCGGGTTGGGTTGGGGTGGTCTGGTAGGTAGTCAGGAGAGGAGAGGGGCAGAGCAGGAACCGCACGTTGGTAAGGGGATTGGGAGGAGAGGGGGCTTGTAAATATAGAGAAAGAGGGGAGAGGTGCAGTTGAGAGGAGGGTGAAAGGGGTTTCCTTTGGTGGCCTTACCGCCACGACCTTGCTGTCCATGTGTTTCTCTAGCGGCCTGGGGCTCCTCATGCCACCGAGGCTTGAGGGCCTGGGAGCCCTGGCAAACCTAGGGAAGTGGTGCCGTCGAGGCTCTGAATGGTCCCCTCAGTCCTGTGGCACCCTTCACTCACACTTGTATGAGGGGAGGTCCACCACGTGCTCATGGGAGGGCTGTGGATCTTACATCAGCCAGCATCAGATCAGTTGATTCAGTTTGTTCGCGTCGCGGGGTGATAGCTTCACGTATACCTACCATCGCACGCATGTGCCATGCTTCAGCCAAACGTTCCGCTCAGCTAGGGCATATCACTGCACGGGTGCTTTTGGCATATCTCACATACGGGAATTTTTGCTCTTGGGAGCACTTGAGCTGCTCGGACAATTCGCACCGTTCGAGGTGAACTTGGAAATCGCATACAATCAGACGTGAGTCCTGTCCAGGTCGCCTGGCCCTGCGTGCATTCCACCGTTTTCTTTTGCCTTGTGATTCTGATGCCAATCTTTTCAACATAGGTGAATGCGCTCTCGTGTTTCACTTGGGATTTGCTCTCTGCCGAGTAGCTCGCTTGACCTCTCAACTTTTCGTCCCTCGCGCAATATTGAATTGTATTCTCAGAGGATGGTTCGATCAGTTGGCATGCCGTCCTTGGTTCCAGTCTTCAGTCCAGCGCTTCTGATCGATTGTCACCTCTCGGCTGCCGCGCCTCCTCGAGCCTCCGATCAGAAGGGACATCACTCACGAGGCTCAGCTTCAGGGCTTGCAGGATCGCGATCAGGGATGTCTGCGATTCGATCGATCCGACAATGCGTGCCGACGCCTGCGCACAGCATCTCTCGTTCAGCAATGGGCGATCCATACGATTGCACGAGCCAGGCGACAGGGCCGTCTTCGTATCGGTTGCACCATAGACGTGTGATTTCGGATTGGGTATTCGGGAGGAGCCAGTGCAAGCCTTGGTGCCCGCAGGTGAGCAGAGGAGGCATGGCTCCCAGAAAGGCAACCGCCACATCATCTAGATCGCACAACAGCTCCCCAGTTGCCGCGGCATCTGGCCACGCGCACTCGTCGGCTGCGTCGGCTCCCGCAACGGCTTCTGCGAAGGGCCTCGTGGACACAGGCTCCGGGTTCACGTTGCGGGCTGCACCGCTAGCGATGAGCATATCCATATTCTTGATCTCGCGGTCTGGACACCGGTGTGCGTTGCCATGGATACGCGACGTTTTGGATACGCTTCGAGTGGGACATCCCCGAAAAGCCGCCCTGTATATCGGGTCGCGGCCTAGGAGTCTAGACAACGAGGTTGTTGTTATGATATGTTTCCCGCCCGCGAGTAGATGAAGGCGGATGGGGAGGCGGATACGGCGGGTGGCAGGCGGCGAGGAGAAGGAGCAGGAGCAGGAGCAGGAGCAGGAGGAGGAGGAGGAGGAGGAGGAGGAGGAGGAGGAGGAGGAGGAGGAGGCGGAGGAGCAAGAGGAGGAGGAGGGGGAGGTTGAGGAGGAGGTTGAGGTGGAGGTGGAGGAGGAGGAGGAGGAGGAGGAGGAGGAGGAGGAGGAGGAGGAGGAGAAGTTGCGATGCCACTGCCTGTGGTAAGTCGTGCTTGCGCGACCTTGCCCTCGCAGAGTCTCAAGTGTGCAGGGCCTCAGACGAGCGGGAGGCGCAGGCGGAGGGCGTCGACGAGGAGGACGGGAAGGCTGAGGACGAGGAGGGCGGAGGACGCCGGAGCGCGGCGCGGAGGAGGCGCGACCGCGACCGTGAGGGCGCCCTCTGGCTCTCTCTCTCTCTCTCTCTTTCCCTCGCCGAAGAAGGGCGACGGCCGCCGCAGCGCGGCCCGAGCCAGATCCCGAGCCCGAGCCCGAGCAGCGGGTCCGAGCGGCGAGCCCGAAGCCGAGCAGCGAGCAGCGAGCCGCGAGCGGCGCTCGCCTCGAGCGGCTCGGGCAGCACCCGCTGGGCCGGCGGCGGCCGTCTGGGGCCGACCGCCCCGAGGAGTGCCGGCCCGTACCCTCGGGGGGCAGGTCGGCGCGCGAGAGAAGGCGGGGATCGGCGCAAACGGGGGTCAGCCAGAGCGCCGGATCCTTCAGGATCCTGCAGGGCCAGGGGTGCACCGACCCAGGCTCGCCCCGGGCTCGGGTGCAGGATTCCAGGCCTCCTGGATGGGGTCCGAGTCGGACGAGTGCGCCGCATCGCCGCTGCATCGCCGATGCGGCTCGGCGTGGAGCCCTCGTTTCCCACGCCGACGCATTGCCGACGCATCGCCGACGTCGCCAGTGCATCGCCGCTGCGGCGCGATTCTTCGGCCCCGTCTGCTCCGACCCCATCTGGGTGGCCTCCAGGGATCCTGCAGGAGGCTGCAGGATCCTGCAGGGCCCGGCGGGCCCGGGCCTGCCGCAGACCCCGGGGTCCGCAGGCCCCCCGAGCAGGCCCGCACCCCCGGGGGGGCGCCTGGGCCTCCGAGCGCGCGGCCGGCCCGCGGGCGCAGCTCTCGGGCAGCGCGGCGCAGAGGGCGCCCGCGGCTCGTGCGCAGGTGTGTAGGTGGAGGAGGGGGAGGAGGGGGAGGAGGGGGAGGGAGGGGGAGGAGGGGGAGGAGGGGGAGGAGGAGGAGGAGGAGGAGGAGGAGGAGGAGGAGGCGGGAGGGGATGAGG